AATTACATGTTTTATCTTCTATCTGTACACAATAAAAACAGTGATGGCAGTGACTCTTGGGAAGTTGCTCTATAACTCCAATGCTGTAAAACATGGAGACTTATATGCATCTATAAGGCTAGGTCAGGGGTTCAAAATTCAAGTTTCAATTTCAAGGCCAGTATGTATAGATGCAGCCTGTTACCTTGCCTACAAAACCAAGCCCAGATTCAGTCAAGTCTTAAAATAAGCCTTAGTTCAGCACTAAATATCATACCAGTGAGAATGACAGCTGTGGTGATAGGGCATTCAGTGAATTCTGTTTGTTGAGCAGCTAAATAGAAAATTAATAATGTAATAGTTACAGAGGAATGGGAGAGGAGGATCATACAGGTATCTGGACTTAAAGAATAGGAAGAAGATCAAATAGTTGGCAACTAGCAACAGCAGAAGTTAGCAGACTTTTCTATGGGTGAGAGACAGCATTCACAATTGCAACAAAGGAAATTCCTATCAGATATACGGGAGCAGGTACACAGAGAGGTTGTGAAATCTCCACCTTTCAAGATTTCAGAACTTCAACTGGACAAGTTCCCGAGCAACCTAATGTAACTCTGATGTTAGTGCTGCTATGAGCAGGAGGTTATACTAGGTGAGTTCCCAGGGGCTTCCCAACACAATCTTCCTGTGACGCTAGGGGAATTTGGTATTTGTAAGCAGGAGAGCACTCCTGGCAGTGCTGTGTGGAAGTGCCTGAAGTAACACAAAGGATTTCCTGTTATTGCCCTGTATGATTGTCCATCAATTCCCCACACTCACAACAGACATGGTCTTCGCTACTTCCTAGCTTGGGGAGTTTCATTGCCTTTGGTGAACCTGAAATGTCAACCAGGGAGGTAGAGGACAGGGCCAAAGGACTGTTTTCCCAGTGCAGCAAATAGTAAATCCACACTCGGCTCTGGCTGAGCACAGACAGGACTCAGGGAAGCTGCTTCAGCGGGAAGTACCAGGATAAGTCCAAAACCAGACTGCACATGTGGAGTTAGGTCTCCTGATGGTGTTATCAGCTGGGTGAGAGACAGATATACATATCAAATAGAAAGGTCCCTATCCATGCTGTATCTTCTTAGTAATCCGCTAGTATAGACATATCTTTACACTTTCAATGCACATATTCATTATATACATTTACATGCATGTGTAAATATGCAACACATAAATCTAATCCTACTCCCATATTTCTCATCCCTCCAGCTTATAGTAAGCAAAATGATGTTCAGCGCTCATCTTACCCTGGTCAGGGCCCACTGACCAAGCTCCACACTGCCAGGGCACGCAGCATCCCAGGCAGACTGGCTGTGCTCCCAGCCTGGGCTGAAGGCTGCCATCCCAACCAACCACCACTGGTGCTCGGGGCATTCTTCCCATCCTCTCCAACTCATGGCATCTGATTAATTATGATCCCCATAATTGTCTCTTTATACAATGAGGAATGTTAATCTTGGGTTTTGTTTTCTCTCCCAGTTTTATTAAGATCATAATAAGGAATATTTTTTCTTGTCCCCTGTCAACTTACACTGCAAATTTGGCGAAAGGGATGATCTCTGTCTTGATAACTGTGGGAGCTGGTAGTCATCGAGACAGCACACGTAACACTGAATAAGCTCACTGAAGTAAATGCCTGGAACAGCTCTTTTTCTTTATCCATATTTGTTCATTTTCACCTGAATTGTAATAGGATCAGTGTATGAGTTTTAGAAGTTGTCTGACATCACCAGTCTTCTCTGTGCACCTGCTACTGGCCGATCAGATTACAGCTTTTTGCCACTCTGTTGCTTAGTGCATGATAATAGACCTTTCATGATCCCATTACATTAAAACATAAGAAAAGCTGCTCTGGGTCAGATCAAAGGTTCAGTGATTCTAATTCCAAAACTGAGCAACCTCAAACTCTTGAGAAAGAACAGAAGGAGAAGGATGAGTGTGTAGCACTGCAGCAACATGTGCGTTCTTTGGTAGATGTTTCGATTTTCTAGAAACTGCCCTGGACAGAGTTTGTGCAGCAGTAGTTGTAAAGGGTCACTGTTTTTAACAGCCCCCAGTGGCTCCAGCCCATCAAGGGTTTTGGGAGACCTGCAGCATCACACCCCACAGTGCTGCTGGGTCATACACCCTGCAAATGAGCCCACTTTCCCATTTGCACACGTTGTTCAGTCCAGACTGATCTTTGCAACATCCTACTTACATAGTAATGAAGAAGAATTCTGTTCTCCCAAAAAAGACCACTCAGGTCTGGTTTGGTCAACAGCATGTCATCCTTGGAAAGCTGCCTCAAGAATTCATTCAGAAACAGATTTTATCAGACAAGTTTGACTGTCCCACAGCAGAAACGGCTCCACCCTCTCACCAGGGTTCATGCTGCAGGGCTCATGACCCCACCAAGCAATGGGACATACTATTCTAAGCTATACCATGAAAAATGATTTCTAACTTATTTATATAGAAAATCCTAAATAAGCAGTGCTGATGTGCCCACTTAGTTGTAGATGTGTCTGAAACCACAATCTTTGGGGAAAAAAGAAGATAGAGTCGTAAAGCAGGAAGCAGGAGCTCCATTGCTCAGGAGCCCTGGCCCCAAATTGGCAGGGACCTGTGTGAGGACTCAGCAGGGAGAAGCAACCCCCCCGAGAGCAATGAGTTATTTAAACAGCACACTCTGTACTCTGGGTTAGCAGGAATTTGCATAACTGTGCAGAGCCCTCGAGCCTGGGATCTTCTAAATAAAAGCCACATTTATAACTATCTAAAGCAGAAGAACACCCCACCTACTCTTCTTCAATCCCATAAGTCAGTGTCATTAGTGAAGTCAGATAGAATCATTTGTTTCTTTAAGGGTTAAAAAAATAATCCATAGCCACTGCCAGGAAAAGGCAGAACTAAACAGGCAGCAAAGAGTTAGAGCCAGAACAGAGAGATAAATTTAAATCAATCATCAAAACGGACCACAACAAGAGCATATACATACAGAGCAAGAAAGAAAGCGAGAGAGTGTTTTGTTTGGGTAGCTAATGTTCCCTGGACAAGAAGAGAGAGAAATTCTCCTTTGGGTTTTTAATGCCACTCTAAATATTTATAGCAAGATCATGGCCAGCTGGTGAGGCAGTGGCTGGGAGTAGGGAGGGGAGGGCGCATTTTCCCCAGTGCCCCAACATCATTCTCCAAGTCGTTTCTTTACTTAAGAGGAGGGGAAAGGCTGCACATTGCCATGTTTACCCTCAGAGTGACTCATCTGCAGGAGTCAAGTCCAGCGGCTCCTGGTCATCCCCTCTCTCATCTCTCCTGGCCATTCATGCACATGTGCACACATACATGCACAGATTATGTGAGAAGCCTCCACCCTGTCTATAGCATGGGTCTGGGTCTTCAGGGTTTTATCTGGCTTTCAGGCATTTCACCACATCTTATGCTGCACTGAGAAGCCTTTGGGAAAGGCCATCTACAGCACAGCCCATGATGCAAAACTTCTGTTTTTAGAGGAACAGGCTGCCCCCATCTCCATAATCTGCTGGTCCATGGACACAGGGTCAGGAGCATATGGAGGATTGCAAACACCAGCACGGCATGAGGGTTGACTTAAGGGCATTGTGGCTCCCAATGATTTTTGCTCATCTGCCTCGCTGTGACCAGACGCAGACATGACTCACTCATGAGCTTTGGCTTTGAAAATATGAGGAGTTTTGCTTTAACCTTGTGTTTCCCTGTGGTAGAAATGCTTAGAAACTACATTTTGGATTGAATCCCACCCCAGAACAAATGGAGAAATTTCAGCAGAGAGGAGGGACCCAATCCAGTTATCCAGGCGTGGGCAACCAATGCTATTTCTCTTCAACCACCCAGGAACTTGGCACAGAGCTGGGACACATCACACTGGGGACCAGCTGGGGTTCTGGAGGATCCTCTGCTGGCACAAGGTGTTCAACTGATCCCAGCCCTGAGGGTGGATTTAGACTCACCATCATAGATGATGGGAGTGTTAAATATGGACACCTTCATATGATTGAGGCAACTGAGCACTTGTGGACATCCAGCAGTGCCTGGAGGACTGTCCACCTGCTCAAATACAGGTGGTACATACTGGTGACCTGAATAACTTGTCAGACTCAGTTGTATTGACTGGAACTCACTGGCTGCAAAAGGAGCTCAGACACCTTGTTCATCTGCAGTCAGAGACCCCATCCAGGTGTCTTCCCTGGGGAGCTCAGTGCCACCGTGGGACTTGCCACTCTGGGACCCACTCACTGCAGCAACCTGCTCCAGTCCTCCCACTCATAACACCAAACTTCCTCAAGCCACCTGCTTGAGCAGTTCTTTGCTAAGGGTTTCAGAGAGTTGAGGTCCTTATACAAAAGGCCACAACCTGGTATTTTCTATATGAATTATCAAGCACCATCAGAAAGATAAACTGCTCCAAGGGTAAACTTCATTCTCTGCTTGTCAAAGGTAGTTGGGCTTTCCGGGTCCACCTTGGAGCAGTGCTGGATGCAGCGGTCCCAGAGCATCAGCATCTCCCACCACACTGCGATGGGCTGATGCTCCCCAGATCTCTCCATAAGGTGGAGACACGGTCCATCTCACCCAGGGAGCCCTTCTCTCTCCCCCCTTCTCCATGAAACTACGGTATTACCTAGCGCGAGGCATGGCAGACTGTTTACAGCCTTCTAGAGTTCCCAGGCACTTTAGGACAGGGTCTTGCTGCTGTTTCCAAAGGGACAGCCAGGACTTTTATAAGTGAACTTTCCTCTCCGTGTCTATTTATTATAAGTAAACATTTGCCAGAAAAACACCATTCGGGCATGCTCAGAACCAGCCAGGTCATTGCAAAAGGCAGCGGCGGCGTCACATGTGATAACAGCGAGCAGCCCGTGTGCTCCTATTCTTAGCGCTGGAATGTGCACAATGCCCCGCCGCCCCGCCGCTCCTGCGCACAGCGCCCGGGAGCGGCAAAACTGACTTCAGAATAAACACGTCCAGAAATCACCCTCTATGAATCACCCTACCTACTGAAAGAAACGTCCTTTGGGTTTATAGGGTTTTTATCCAGGCTCTAGCTATGGAAAATCTCAGCAGAGAATAAGCGACAGAGAGTAAGTGCATGCAGGGAAGGACGACAGAAGGTAAACGCTTCTACCTTATGGTTCCACTGCAGGTTGAGCAGTTAGTCATGACAGTAGATACTCATCATATTGTTCTGCCTGGCACTTAATTTAGTCATTGTGTGTCTGATTAACATAAAAAAACCACAGCTAAGCAGAGTTAATAAATAACGGTTTTAATGCAGATTCCCAGTCTCTAGGGTTCCGTTTGCCCTGCTGCAGAGTTCAGCTCTGCCAGATTTGCATTCTTTGGGAATGACTAACTCTAGGGGAAAGAGGCGCAAGCTACTAAACTGCTAATACTTTAAAATAGTGAATAAATGTCTAAGTGCATTTATTCAACGTGATTAAAATGGACAAACCAATTGCTTCAGCCATCCAGCTTTAATCCCAAATCAGTGAGATAACTTCAGTGCTTTTGCTTCTTGCCAGGGACACAGGCAGTGCTGACCTCAGAGCTGCAACCTATCTGATAACTTTATGAAAATTTTAAAGGGTCTTAGGGACCTTTTGACTTCTTTATTATTTTCCCACTGTGCTTAACCAGTGTTCCATTTTTATGCGTAACAGCGAACGGATATTTAGAGGAACATCAAAGTCCCGATTTGTTCCCTTGGAGCTGGATATTTCAATAAAAGTTGCTAAGAATTCAGGGGTTTTTCTGCCAAGTCCAGTATTCATCTCTCTCCTATTTTGCTATGGAGGGGGAATCCACTGAAGAGTTTCTCTTCAAAGACCAGGACTTCTCCTCTGAACTGCTGAAGCAGCTGAATGCTCTGCGGCAGAGTGGGATGCTGACTGATGTTGCCCTCTGTTCCGGGGGTTTTGAAATCCCCTGTCACCGAAATGTGCTGGCTTCCAGCAGTCCGTACTTCAAGGCAATGTTCTGTAATGACTTCAGAGAGAGTCGCCAGGCTAAAGTCATCCTGAAGGGCATCGACGCCAACATTTTGGATCAGATTATCCTTTATGTTTACACAGGGGAGATTCTTATATCCACTGAGAATGTCCTGTGCCTGTTGGAGACTGCCTCCATGCTGCAGTACACTAAGCTATTTGAGGCCTGCTCTGCCTACCTTCAAGACAAGCTGACTCCTGACAACTGTCTGAGCATGATTAGACTGGCAAAAATCTTGAACTGCCAAAGTCTGAATAAGAAAGCCAAGGCTATGGCTTTGAAATGCTTTCCTGTGGTGGCCTCTTCTGAGGACTTGAAGGACCTTTGTCCCTTGGAGCTCATCGACTACCTTGGGGACGATGAACTCTGTGGGGAGGAGGAGCAGGTCTTTGAGGCACTGATGGTCTGGGTCCGGCACGACCTCCAGGCACGACAAGGCTACATCCAAGAATTGTTCAAGAAAGTCCGGCTTCAATACGTCCATCCAACTTTCCTCTTCCACTTCATTGCCAATGACTCACTCGTTCAGTCCTCACCCACTTGCAGGAGCATCCTTGAGTCAGCCTGGAGACATATGTTTTCCCTGTACAGCACCAACGCACCTGACATCAAACCCATGATGCATGTTCCTCGCCGGTACTCCAACCAAGAGTTCCTCATCATCATTGGTGGCAGGAAGGACAGCCAGCAGACGAGGGATGTCCTGCTCTATGATGACAAGACAAACCAATGGCTGAGCCTGGCCAAACTTCCCATGCACCTGTACAAAGCCTCTGCAGTGAGTTTACACAGCAACATTTATGTGCTCGGAGGGATGCCTGTTAGTAATAAGAAAAGCCTGGTCAGTGGTAATATTTACATTTACTCCCTCAAACTCAATCAGTGGAGGTTGATTGAGCATATGTTAGTTCCACGTTACTCCCACAGAAGTCTGGCATATAAAAATTATATTTTATCATTCGGTGGAATTGGTGAAAACCAGGAAATCCTGAATTCTGTGGAAAGATATGATAGTGTCTACAACACCTGTGAGAGCATGGCAAACATGCCTGTTGCTGTTCTTCACCCTGCTGTTGCTGCCAAAGATCAGAGGGTCTACCTCTTTGGGGGAGAAGACATTATGCAAAACCCAGTTCGACTGATCCAGGTAATGATCGGTCCTGCTTGTCATAGGCAATTTCTTCTAAGGTATTTCAACAGTCCATCACCCTCATGAGAAAATCAAACCACCTAGAAAACTTTATTGTGAGTCGCAGCAAGGGGCAGGTTGAGTTGATACATGGCTTCCAGGACCATTGCAGCCATTTCATTTTCCCCTTCTGAAGGTTTTTCAGGCACAAGCCCTGACATACTTCTTTGGGTGTCAGTCAGCTGTGCCTCTGGTGAGCACTAAGGCCAGGGCTGCTGCAGATGATGCTATGGCAGGCGGCAGCAGCCCCCCCTGCCCAGCTTCATGCCTGTAGCCAATATCACCAGAACCAGTGCTTTCTCCTTGGCAGCCGAGCTGGGGTCTCAGCCGCACACCTGCTCACTCGCAGCGAACACGAACACTCACCATCATTAGAGCGATTAGATACTCACTCATCAAAGGGCCAGGACTTAAACTGACAGTCATTTCATATAAACAGTTGTGTTAAAAACGTAGCTCCTGCCACATGTTGCTGGCTTCTCTGTCTGCTTTCAGCGGTTACACTCTATTAAGAAGAAAAAATTCATACAATTTTTTCTTATCCGATTTGTTGCTTTAGTAACATTGTAGTGTTTCTATCCCCGTAAGTGTTTTCCACTGGTTGAGGTGCTTTAACTAAGAATCATTACGAGCTAAGATGGCACCAGCACACGAGCAATACTTTGTGATTATAATGGTACTTGATTATCAGGGGAAGGAAATGTATTTATCTGTTAATGGGAAGTTGCCCTGGAGATATTTACTATATTGAGAACCAGATAATATGGCATAAAAGTTTGTGTCACCCAGATATGGATGACTGAATGATCATCATCTGGCAACAGCTCTTTTTCTCACATGAATTGATGACTTAGATACCACTCTAAGTCCCTTTGCCAGCCACCAGCACAAATATAGCAGCTGAGCAAATATGGTGGCTGCCAGCAAAGCTAGGTGAAGTTGAAGTTTGTTTGCCCAGGAAATTGCTAAGACCAAGGCAGGAATACACAGAATAACTGGTAAATGAAATTAATGGGCTTGCACTTTGGGAGAGCAAGTTACAGTGATTTAATAGCTGTGCAAAGGTCTACAGCCAAGAAGCTTGTATATGGCAGACACACTTCATCTTAGTGTGTGTGCTAGCATGTCCTGAGCAGACAAGCCTGGGGAACTAGAATGCTTTCCAGGAAGATATATTAGGAAAAAAAATGGGTATATTCTCAGATTTCCAGGACTTTGAGCCAGAGGATTGTATTTATTAGGGCAAAATAAACCCCTTAAGTTCTCTGTAATTACAAATGCCAGTTGAAATATAACATAAACGGCTGTGTGAGTATCTTTATTTTCTTGTCAGGTTTACCATGTGTCCAGGAATACATGGTTTCGGATGGAGACTAGAGTGGTGAAGAATGTCTGTGCACCAGCTGTCACAATTGGAGACCAGATTATCATCATAGGTGGTAAGAGTTCTGTTTCACCTTCCTTCTGCCTCCCCCTACCCAGATCTTGTGGGTTTTTACAGCCTTCCTGTGGCTTTTGAGGGGGTGGTCCCTCAAAAAGCACCTGGATCTTGGGAAAGAAAGGAGGACTGTGCCCATCCTCCATCCACTTCTCTTACGGCAATGGAAGCAGAGATAAGTTCTCCATGAGGCCCCTTTTTACTCCAAGTAGCAGGACCTGGGTGGGGGAAACTAAGGAAAAGCCAATGCAAGTTGCTGGTCTGCAGAAGGAAGGATGCCAAAAGCATGGGGATCCTGCTTCTCCCTTGCTGACTCACATCCTGGAACTTTCTGTCTGCTCTTCTTGGGATAATAGAGAGCGTGGTTACCACAATCGTTGGGATGGGTGGGCTATAGGTCTATGAGATGTTGGTTGGTCCTGTAGTTGCCTCCTGAGGGTAATTGTGAAATGTCCTGAAAGGGGTGTGAAACACCTGGAAAGAAGAAACTCCGCAGTGTCTTTTTCAACCTGAGGACCAGCCTCTGCCCACTGGCACTTTGGTGTATTATGTCATTGGTTTTGGCACTCTACAATCCTGAATGCAGCTCCCCCGATCACAGACTGTCAAGAGGAAGCATGTGTTAGATTATGTAAGAGAAAATGAGACACATAGTAGTTTTGGCAGAGCAGTGAACTGAACGCAAATCACGCGAGACTCAAAGATGGTGTCACCCCTCAGGGGGAGGCCACTGCTACCCTTTGCAGTCAGAACACAGGAGAGCTGAGTCCAAAGGTCCCAGACTATCCTGTGTGGCAGATTATCCTTACCTCAGACCACACTCTTGTTTTTATACATGGGCAGGGTACTGCTGGGTACCAAGCTTCCACACCTCCATTGCTCCAGGGCAATGGCCCTTTTACCAGCCCTTACCTCTCAGCCGATCCGAGGTTACATCACCTCTCAGTGGAAGAGCTGTACACTGGGTCACTGGCGTGGTGGCTGGCACAGATATGGCACTGTGGACTTTAGGAGTGGAGCAAACACCAGTGGCACTGTGCTGAGTACTCAGCTCCGTTCAGAAGGCAGCCACAACTCCAACCCAACAAGGCACTGTTGTTCCTCTCCCGTATGCCACTGGTTTCTCTATTACCAAGTGAAGCTCAAGGAGTCTCTTGGGTGAAAAGAAGTATTTTGGGATGTTTGAAGACACATGCAGGTAACTACAAGCTCCAACTGTGTGAGACAGGTTGGTTGCCTGATCTGATGGGTCTTATGGTGCTTATTGAGCCCTGGCTGCCAAGGTGCTAGTAGACAGGGTGAGGACAAACAGGAAAGAAAGATAGACAGACAGGCATTCCTGTGACACATCATCACTTCCTAGCTTAGAGATCTTAACTCTGCCAAATTATGTACCAGTATAATAGGTTTTATTGAAGACTATCAGGAAATATATTATCATTCCTTCTGCTGTCCATAAGCTTTAATTCCCATCTGTCTCTTCCACCTCTGGCTTTTCATTCAGGGTACACCAGGAGAATCATTGCTTATGATACAAAAGGCAACAAGTTTGTTAAATGTGCAGACATGAAGGACAGACGAATGCATCATGGGGCCACTGTCATCAAGAACAAGTTGTATGTCACAGGAGGACGATGTCTCACCACAGACAATGTCATCAAGGACCTGGATTCCTTGGACTGCTATGATCCAGAGACTGACACGTGGACACCAAAGGGAAAACTGCCACATAGACTCTTTGACCATGGATGCCTTACGCTCCAGTGTGTCCCCTGTTCTAACCTTCTCTAAACGAGCTTTGGTACTTCCTTTGTGCTTTCCTTCCCGGAAAGGACTTGCCTCGCTCTGCAGAGAGCACATGGGGAATCCTTATGGGGTCAGGCAAACTCTTGACTTTAAATGCACAAGAAGCGCTAGTCCTTCCCAGACCCTGTGCCAGAAAGATCATAAGCTCTGTGCTTGTGCCTATTCACCTGACTGGTATTGCATATGGTGCTGCTGAGTCCAGTGTGGAGGCCTTACCCAGTATCTCAATAGAAAAAAGATACTGGGTAAGAACCCATTGTAGGATTTGGCCTTGTACAGACTGTAAAAGGAAAAGTGAGTAGGGATGCTGATATCTCCAGGGAAAGTAAGATCTGGATAACCTGCCTTTGTTGGCATGCAAACTCAGCTGCCTGGGCAGCCCTTAGCTGCTCGGTGCTGACCAAGCTTTCTGTTTCCCGTGATGGGAGCATTTAGAATAGGAAGCCCTGAGCTTCAGTCTTGTAGCCAGGCCAGCAGCAGCTGCCTGCATTAGCTATGGTAGTCATCTCATAAGAAATAAAATTTTAATGTTCCTAACAGCAAATTAGAAATAAGCAAAAGACTGATGGTTTGATCTGAACTCTCATATTGCAGCAAAATGCAGATTTGACTTTTCTGAGCTAACACTCTTTCATAGTGAAGGGAAGACTTTTGTTCCCCCTGCCTGCCCTCTGAAGGAGCAGGAGAAGGTGGGATGGAATTTAAGATTGTCTGCATCTTCTTTTTCAAGGGATCTTGTTTTGCAGGGATCTTCTCCTTTTGCATCAGTAGTAGCAGTGGGGTTAGTTAGGAAGAGTTTGGCTGATGGAATTCTTGAAATTTGGAATAGCAGAGAGGACATATGGAGGAAAGGGGATATAAAAGAGAAGAGGTATTTAGGAGGAACAATTTCTTTTTCCCTTTCTCCTCTCTCCAAACCACTGGGAAAAAAACCATGAGACAAAGCCAGTGACAGGAAGCCAGCTTTCCAAGAAGAGCAAGTCTAAATCTGCCACTTGGCAAAGCAGCTCTGGCTCCACCAATATTTTTGTGGGGTTCTGCCACTAAGTACATACTTTTAAAGGGAGGGGATTAATCATCAGATACTGAACAGGCTGTGAACTGCTGTTAGGTCACCAGGCTTGGTAAGATTGCTGAGATAGCAAGGAGCTTTAAAGATAGCACTGATGTCCACCATCCAAAGAAAGGATGGTAGGAAGAACACCCCTTTTTGAAAGAAAGTGGGACTTTTCCAAGGGTACAGGGTGGCATGAGGAAACCACACTCAACCTCCCTCTTTACAGAAGGCTGCACAGGCATGTCGTCACCACTACATTGCAGTAAACTAACTCGGGATCCTAAGATCCCCTCCCATAAATCTGTGACTGGGAGTAGAAGGGTGACTGAAATAGTTAATGAAGTGGGGGGCTGGAAGAAAGTATTTGGTATCAACTGCTGTTGTAACAATGTGGAATAAAAGGGTTATTATTGTTTGTATGAGCTTTGTGTTCAGGAGTCCCCATTGTTCCCTCTGAATTGTTGATAAAGGGAATTGTTTTTGTACCAGTGGGTATTGCCAGGGTTTCCTTCTAAGGATCTGAGTAAACCTGCAAAAAATGAGTGGGAACCCAAACTTGTCTCCCAGCTCAGAAGCCTTTGGCTACATTTCTCTTCTGTCTTTCAGTCTATATCATCGTCTCCTCCCTGTGCAAAGCAGAGCTAAATCACAGCATTTGCCAAGTTGGACTGGAGCAGTGATTCATCCTGCTTCCTCACAGACCATCTCCATCCCTCTGGAGAAAGAAGCCTTGTCATGGCCAATTATGGAATGTCTGCCCCAGGGAGATGTTTATTGCTAACCCTGCAGTGCTGCCTTCCCAAACTCCTTCCTGTTGCGACCCTGCTCAGCTCCAAAGTCCAGGAGACGCCAGTTGCTGCCATGCATTTTAGCTGACACAGATTCCTGCCAGGCTCGTGACTGTACCCAAAACCCAGGGGGAAAAAAGTTGACTCAGGGCCATAACCCCATGTTTGCAAACCATTGCCACAGTCATTGGTTTACGCTTAGAAGCAAACAGATTTTTTTTTTAATTCCCGTATCATATAACTAGTGATTTTCTCCATGTTCTTGTGGGCACCAAATAGTACCTTGCACAGCTGTAGCTGGGCAGGAAATGGGGAGTGCAAAGAAGAGGCAGGGTTGCAGCAGCATTCCCCTCAGCATCTTTCCTCCATCCTCCAGGGAGCCCTAACATCACCCCCAAGTCCTTGGAGACACCAAGGGCTATGGCCAGCCCTGCTGTGGCTGCAGCCCTGTGCTCCTTCTCTTCACAAACTCCTCACCTCGTGCCCATAATTCAAGGAATTTGGAGTCACTGGGAGGTAAATTCAAATGCTCGTGGTTTCTGATAGATTTCTGTCTTGTGGTCAGTTTTGATGCAAACTCTGACCAAAGATTTTGGTGCCCTTCACAGAAAAAAGGTTGAAATCAGAGAACAGGGTTGAGCCTTTTCAAGGCAGATGAGGGATGGTGGAGTTGCTTGGTCACAGAGAGGCAGCAGCACATGCAGCTACAGGACAGGGGATACTCAACAGTGGGACAGGCACTATGGGAAGAAGGGATATTGCCTTTCTAATTAGGTGCTGACCACCACCTGGCCCACCTTGAGCAGTACCTAATACCATCCTGACTGCTTTGCAGTTGTTGTATCCCAGTGGTGCTATGGGTAAAAACACTCCTAGCAAAGGTACTTCTTTCTCCAGTATCAGGAGGGGACTTTTACGAGCAGAATCTGCAAGGCTGCCACTACATGAGTCATTACATGTTTTCTCAGAGGTCTCATCATCCTAATATTCAAACATTTGAGTGCTTACTTAGATGGGAATCCCCCATGTGATAGCAGCAAGACACTTCACAAATACAATGATGGCCCCATGGAAAGGTGTGAATTTGTTGCTTTTCATTTAATAACCATGGAAGCCAAGGAAAAGAGGCTTTTAGAAAAGGGTTGTTGATTGGAGGTCAGCCTTCAGAAGGGTTGATCACCTGACACATTTTTTCAAATCAGGGAATGCTGTAAAAGCTCATCACCTCCAAGGTCTCATTTTCAAGTGTCCTGACTCAGACACTAGATTATGCAACCCATAGGATCATATGGCTGAAAGTAGCCTGTTCCATGGGACAGTGAGTTACCCATGGCAGGTACTTGTCCAATGCACAGAAAATCTCCCATGAGAGATGTTCTGATCCCTCCCAAAGTAATGTACTTGAGTGTGTTATTAATCTCAGAGCTTTTAATACTGTCTATACTAAATCTTCTTTGCTGTACCTTCTGCCATACCCACAGGGATAAAGGGTAATCGATTACCCTTTTAGATACCATGTATTTTTTTACATCTTTAAAGTTTATTAGGATGTTTCAAATTCTCTAGACTAAACAAACCCAGCCCTTTCAATCTTTCCTCATAAGTCATGTTTTCTAGACCTCTGATCATTTTTGTTGTTCTCTTCTGGACAATTTCCAGTTTATCTGTTGGTGGTTTTTTATTTATTTAAGCGCAGGGCCGTGGCTCAGCCTTGCAGTGCTGAGAAGGGCAATAAACCTTGTCTGCATCTTACCTACAGCATTCCTGGTCTTGCAGACCAGAAGGACTTTTGCTTTTCACAGCAGCAGTAGATCACTGACTGGGGTTCAGCTGTGCTCACCACTAAGGAATGTTTGCAAGTTTGGGCAAGGTCACATGGAAAGACTGCAGGACATCCAGGATCTCCCAGGGTTATTCTGTAACTCTCCATCTTTGCTTTGGCTCATCAGGATCCCAAGTCAGACGCTGTTGAAAACAATAAGTTTCTCCATGAACTTCAACATGGAGCTTTGGACTGGGCCCTAATTATTGTGTTCTCAGCTGGGTTCATCACTAATTCTATTAATTTTAAAGGCAAATATTTAATGTTTGAATCATTTTTTTTTATACTAGGAGAAAAGTTTCAGGCAAAAAAATAAAAAAGGAAGAGAAGAGATTGCATTTTCTTTTCAACTTTCACTTGCCTTGCTGCAAACCCAGAGCTGAGTCCTGCTGCACAGACAGCCTGTGGCGGGTGGTTAGCTTTGCTTTGATCTCAGCAAAGAGCTTCGTAGGTTAAGCCTGTGTTTTTTCACTGTAACAATTTATCAAACAACACAGTCCTTTCCAACGGCAGCCTTTTTCTTGCACAGTAATATGTTTATAATTATAATGCATTTCCTGCTTCTTTTTGATTAAACACACCTGACAAAGTAGGAAAGATGTCAATGCATAAATAAATGGGCACACCAAGTTCATCACTTCGTTCTTTTTTTCCAAAAGCCAAGGAGTTCATTGTGAGGTGAATCCTCTAGTTGAGAAGGAAACAATTGGAGAGAGGATATATGAATAGCGTACAGGGTAATTTATCCCTGGCATTGTTCCTTAGCCTGACCTGAGAGCCATTAATAATTGACAGCAGCAAAAACAATCCCTTTTTACAAATATAAACATCCATACTTTTTTTCCAGCTGCTTGAAAGCTCCCCTGTTAAACAGTCATATTCTCCACGGCACAAGGAGCATGAATTCCTTAGTGCAAGGTTGCACCAGCAAAGGAGCTGAGACCTGCTAATTAGTGAATTGCTAATAAGGTTTTCAGCAGCTAAACCTGATGAGTTTTCCCTGGGGCCCAAATGAAGCAGAGTTCATATGGAGGAACTGGTCTCTTAGTCTGCCCGTGCCACCAAAGTCCACAGGGCTCCTCAGGCTTTGTGTTGGAGCCCTGAGAGATTGATCTTGCCTCTTCTGTTTATTGAAGTTTCCAAAATAGTAGCAGAGTAGCGAGGAGCCCAACTGCTCTGTCACTCGGCAAGTCACCCACCGGCTCCAGCTGCCGCCTGTCACTTCTCTCCCCAGGGCTCTTTGTTTCCCTGCACTTCTTTCATGTTGCAAGAACCCTTTCCGAGAAAAGCAAGCAGCAGCACATCCCAAGCAGCCCTGGGCCATTAGGCGTGTGCCTCGTGGCTGCTTTAAACACAAGGCATCCTCACAGCTGTTGGAGACATTTGGCTCTAGGCTTGGGGGTGAGCCACGAGTTAAATACTGCTACAGGTGGGAAAAGGGGACAGAATCTGGTCCACTTCTTCATCTGGTCAGGAAGATGTTTGTAAACCACCCTCCTATATCTAATCCTCCATGTCTTGCTCTCTGAAGTTTGTTTCTTGACCAGGCTGTATCTTCTGATGAACAAGCCGTGTCCCACCATCCCTCCCTAAAGCAGGCATGCCGGAACAAGGACAAAGGCAAGACCACTTCTTCAGATCTCCCAGTACCACAACTGTAATGACATCCCCTGAGTTTTGCCCTGGTCTTGGCACGTTGCTGAGTTTTCTCTCTGCTCTCAAACATGTCCTCAGACCAAACAACTGGGCAGATGTGCCCTGAAACAATGTTTGGAAATGGCAATGACCACCCAGAGCACCAGGATGTGATACCAAGGACTATCAAGTCCAAATTTTCAAGTTGATGAGATGCTCCTGGTCTGTAAAATCAGCCCAAAACAATCTGAACCTTAGAGTAGAGCCCTTAGAGCTCTCTGTAAGAGCTGGGAATATGTAGGGGAATGTGTTTAGCCCTGAGGAGCAGAGAGAGGGTGCTGCAATGTGGGAAAGGGCAGTGTTTTATCCAGATCAGCAGCAAGTCCTGGAATTAATAGGGTTGATTAAACCATCTTGATGTGCATGGTATGTGGAGATAAAGGCCCAATTCCCTAGGGCTTCTAGTGAAAATTATACGTTAACCATAACAGTACGTGACATTCCCCGACAGGGATGAGGGACTCTGCTGGAAGACAAGAGACAAGTACAAATCAAGGGGGCAAAAGAGGCAGCTCTTGGGAGAGCAAAGTTACCACAAACTTGCTGGATCTGTTTCAATGCTGAAATGACGTGGATCCTGGCACCAGGCAGATCGAAAGCAAGGGAGCTATGCCTGCTTTGTGTTGTTATGACACATATATTTCCCTGAAAATGACATTAAAGAGTACCAGAGGCTCAAACATTGTTCTGTTTATCTGTTCCCTGGGTAGGGCTCTTACTCTTAGAGACAGCCTGAGCACTGCAGAGTATGGCCCCTGTCAAAACTTTTCCTCTGTCATGGAGACCATCAGCAAGTGTGAAATGGGAAGCCAGCCCAGGGAGTCAGGGCATACATGACTGTTGCCTGCTGCCGCCTGGCAGGACAGCATCCCTTCGAGACACACAAAGGGATGAGCTGTGGGAGAACATTCCCCTGCCATGCACTGAGGTTTGCCAGATAGGAAGCAGATGGCATAGGATGATTACTCCCCAGGGCATTGACCCTGGGTTCATCCTGTGCAGATGAAAGGCTCCATGGAAAGGCTCCTCATCACCCAGGCTGTGTCAATGGTACCTCAATATGCTTCAGGCCACATTTCAGCCCTGGGGCTCCCTTGCAGTGAAGCTGGCACCTGAGTTACCCGTTAATTCACAGAGTGAACTAACCCATGCTTGTGCAAGCAATACACAGATAGCCATGGCATCCTAAGAAGACTCCCAGCAGCTTAACTGAGTGCCAGCTCAAGCCTTGGCCAAGAAGGAAAGCAGAGAGGTCCTATGGACGTTCTTCAAGATGCTGTGATATTGAATGGATGATTCAGACCTTTTTAAAAGAAGGCAATCTTTGGGCTTGGGAGGTGCTGGCTGAAGACTTCTATCTGAAAGATCCAGTTTAGAGCCTACAAGAGTTGTCTTTCTACTCATAATAACTTGGAACAAATGTCAGTAAATAGAGTCTGTTTCTTGTCCAGGCATAGAGGGCTCTGGAAATATTCTCAAAAGAAAAACAGCAACACACAGTGAAAGAAGTGGTGCAGGCAAACTGAAGTACAAATGGCAGAGAAGCCAAAAGCGTGTTTGCCCTTCCAATCTTGAGCTCATGTTTTTTATGGCATGAAATGTGACATGCACAGTCAGTCGTGGATTTCAAGCTGAGAGTCTGTTATTTGTGATGGCAGTGTAAAATACACAGACCCTTACTCCAAAGAGCTTATGAGAGATTGAGAGCAGAGAACACAGATGGCCCTCAGACCATCATAAGCTGGAGTTTCAAAGCATCCAGCTCATTCATTAGGCAAGAGCAACACCTTATGCCATAATCTGGATAACTGAAGCAGACCTAAAAGAAAAAAAACTTTGACTCTTTTCACCCTAGTCCACAGCCTATCCCACAGATCAGCATACAGATATGATTGAACAAGTGCCAAGGCATAGGACTATCTGGAAATTTGGCAACACTGGCCGCACCAATCTCTTCTATCCCCAAGTGCCTGATAGCCAGAAGGGCACCATTAACCTAAAACTTACCTAGGATAGGAGATTTTTTCGTGATTTTCTGCATCTAGATTTTTCCCTTCCCCAAGAAAGGTAGCAGAAGGTTTGGGACAATCTAGAAATGGGCACACACCTGGGAAAGTGTATCACTTCTGCTTTAAAAAACAAAGATTTATAGAGTAAGGACAGAACATTCAGACAGCTCAGGGCACTCTGATTTCCAAGAACAAGCTATAAAAACCATTTAGATTGTCTGAAAATTCTTTGGCATTTCCCTTTCATATTTCCAAAGCAATTTACAAGGTAAGGTGATAGGTAGTGCAGACCAACCTTCCTAGGACTGCCACAGGTGAAGGGAAATGTAGCAGGGGAAATGATTACATGGATCAATAGGATTTTGCCTTTGTCATATTTGTTTGATGCTAGAACACATTCTCCTCTGCTAATTTGTGGCTGGACTGATGCAAATACATGGATTTTCATGTAAATACAGCATACTGCTTTATGGCTGCAGAATGTTGATGAGCTCAGTTTGATCAGGAGAAAATCCCTGCCCAGGCTTTAGTAGAAACCTGCAGATACACAGATAGCAGAACAGTGGTACTGCCAGCCTCAGTGGGATGTGGCACTTGCAAACAGCATGAGTCATTTGCCCTGGAGCTGTAGTAGCAGAGAAGATCTGAAGATCTAGATCAAATTGGTGAATCTGCAGCATCTGACACAGTTTAAGAGGTTAAGCCTATTTGTAGACAAATGAGGGTAATTTTCATAGCTGAAGGGATTATGTGTTGTTTTTTTTTTAATAAATTCATAATAAACTCTAGGAAGGAGAATACTGAGACCTGTACTCAGATAACTCTGTGGAGATGAGAGGAAGTTTGTCCAAGACAGGGATGGAGTCGAAGGAGCCAGAAACTCAAGACTGCATTATCCTCAGTGCTTTGTTTTTATCCACTCACAGGATTAAGTTATGCTTTCAGGACAGTACAAAGCATCCCTCTGGAGCCAGACCTTGATCTCCCTGCCTGGTGCATAGGTGGAATCCACAGAAGTGCATTTGAAGGGGGAACCTGGGAGAGATAGAATGGCTGTGCATCCGTGGGCAAACATTCCCTTCTTTTCAGGGGAATTTCTATTCATCGTTTCTTGTCTTACTTCTGCTTTAGTCAAATATAATGCTTCATATAATTAAAAAAGGGACAACATTTTGCTCTTCTAATGACATGAAATACTTGAACAGACAAATTGTAAACTATTAGCCTTATAGTTCTGTGGTAGCTCACACCACTTCTCATTCTGGTCATGTCACCTTTCTGTGTCTGTGGATTACGTCTTGCAGCAGAATCAACTCAAAGCCAATTTAGAATTTTGCCTAAAGGAAACCCTCCAGGAAACCCCCTTGGATCACTAGTGGTGAACATGAGAGTCAGTTTGCCAGTGGGCATCAGCAGTGCAGTTATGTGGCATCATCAGGAAGTGAGAAAGGATGGGACTTGCTGAGTGATTGTGGGTAAAACATTATTTCTTTTATGTCTCCAATGCCATGTCATTAAAATAGCAATGATACCAACTCCTTAAGAGTATTTTAGATGAATCCACTAAAGCCTAAAAAACACTGCCTTTTGTGAATTGCCAAAGATTGTTTTTTTACAGTCCCACTGCAGCTACTTGCACTTCAGGAAGTAACCGCACCTATAGAAACAGTGTTCTTAAATTAACATAATTATGATCTTAAATGAACTAGTAATCATCTGGATAGGTGCAAAGATTTATAAAATGAATATGGGACAGATTTTGACTGAGGCTATCCCTACCCCCCAAAAAAAAGACAAAAAGGCTGAAGTTAGCCCCCACTTCCTTTTCCTAAAGTGTGGGGGATTTACACTGCTTTCCATAGAAACTAAGGATGGATTGACTATGGAGTTATATAGACTCACAGGGAAAACAGGGCCTTATGAAAAGGACACAAACACTAACGTGGTTTGCAGGTGGATTGTGCCCATGGACTAGTGATGCTTTCACTTAAGCAAAGGCTATTCTGCTTGGAGGCAATCTCCCAAGTAAGCTTGAAGATTTGAAAATCATTCCTTTGAGGTCATCTGAAACTTTTTTTCCAAATTCAGAGTAATAATATATGGAGCACTCCATGCACTCATGGCATTTACATAACGTAATGTATATGCAATTACATACATACATTACATTCATTTCTACATCCAAGGTCTGTAGGACCAGGTCCTTTCTTGTTCTCCTGGAAAAATCAAGTTTTTCAGTTCTTTCAATGTTTTTACACCAGTCTTTCTGAGACGTCTTCTTACAATGTCCCCTCAGCATCTGTTTTATTTTAAAAGGATAAAAATGCATCAGTCTCACACATTCTTGCTACTTTCAAGCTTCTCCAATTACATTATTTATATGAATCTATTCCCTTTTTTTGTTAGGATTTTTTTATTCTTAGTTTAAGTTTCATATACCCAGTGGCAAGGACAGAGACCTGCGGGTGTGTTGTTTTTAAAAACCATTTTATTTTGTCTGCTCTGTGATGAAAATATCTCTGCAAATGTAGGATTGCAAGGATGTTTGGGCACCTGCCATCACTCTTATTAACTTTAAGCTGATCCTAGGAACTGGCAGTACTTGACTATCCGGTTCCCAAGTAGCATTTGTGAACTGCGGGAGTCCTTCAATCTTATCTTCCAAGCATGACTCTTTGGGTCCCTGCACTTACCACCTGTCTTGGTAAGCTCAGCTTATTCTGAAATCTTAAAGTTAACATGAGACATCTCCGTTCTTTGGCCTCTGCATGTCTGTCTCGGTACAAAAGGGGACATGGCATGAAGATGCCCAAGCTGGCAACCCAGGACATTCATCTGCACTTATGCAAGTCAGAATTCCCTAATTTTTGGCCTGGACCTTGTTCTGAAAGTAGATGGGTCAAATGCTTCAAAGAGCCTTGTGGCATTGGTTAAGTCTCCCAGGACTAGAATGGGGTTCCTTGGTGCTCCACTGTTTCTCACAAGTTCCCAAAAGCGGCTCCACTCAGCAGAGGCTAGCAAACCAATTAACTGCCTTTGAAAATTCTGGCCTTGGTCTTTATGATGAGATCCTCTTCATAATAGCACTGCCTGGAGTGAGCAAAGAGCTTTCCTTGTTTTCCTCAATCAGAATTCAAGCAAACTTCTGCTGACCTCTTCATTTTGGCCATTTGATTTCAATGGGAAATGGACTGCACAGGGAACTTGGACCTCAAGCCTTGTATATTTTCTCTAATATTCTTTTATCTTCACTAAAAAACATTTACTAATATATTAAGCTAATGTTTCTCCAGAGAGGGTCACACACAGTTCAGCATGCATCTTGCATCCAGAGATTTCTTCAGGTCTCTAGTGTTAAGTTTTTCTAAATAGGTCAGGTATTTACTTGCTGTTGCTGAAGGGAACAAGCAGAGCCCTTCTAGTTGACATCTAAAATAATGAAAAGAAAACCATATGTAAACCATACTTTCTGGAAATAAACTAACCCTTCTACATTTACAGGGTCAAGGGAGTGCGAGTGACCCCATATATCCCCATGTGACTGCCCAAGTTGCTACACAGCAGAGGAAAACAGGTCACACAGATGTAGTTACAGAAGTTGAAACGGGGATGCGGGGCTGATGAGGAAATGCTGCCAGATTTAGAGTAACAGGTGGTTCCTCTGTGGCATCCATGAGGGACGAGTGGAGCTGGGTTCTGAGAGCAACCTCTGCTGAGGCACCTGCACGACATGGGGTGGAAAAGCATCTGCAGGGATGGGGCACCATGGAAAATAAACAGATGAACCAGCACATCAGGACCAATATATACCAAAGGGCATCAGCCCTTTCCTATAATTGGTCCTGCAAGGAGCTGTGGAGAAACCCAACCCTGCGATAAAGGCTGTACCTTAGGACTTTGGAAATACAGGATTTAGGCACCTGCTGTCCCAGACTGTGCCTGACTATCAACAAGCAGCTTGGCCACGATGCACAGATCCCAGTGAGTGCTTAAATACCTTCATATGTGTGGGTGTTGCTGTCTCAGTTCTCCTGTTTCCTTTCCATGCTGGATAAAAAATAGCTCTCTACCTTGTATGCTGGAAAAAACAAATACATTCTGCTGTGTCAAATGCTATTTGAAATTAGGTTCTTATTTTAGGGGCCCACCTAACTCAGAAGAAATAACACATTCCCATGTTTCCAGCTCAGCAGAGGCACCTCATGTGACCCTGTAAGTTTCTGCCCAGCAGAGGACAGGTCACACAGAGGCGGTGACAGAAATCCAAGCAGAGCACTGTGATCCAGAGAAGATTATCAAGCCCCGGCAGCTATGGGGTTGAACTCATAGCAGGTCAAGAAGAAAACAATTAGTACAAGGTTTGAAACAGTTTCTGGCGAAGCTCAGGGAGACTTCCCATAGACATCTGTGTCTCACGTGGACAATGATCTTAGTTCTCCATCATCTTAGCCCTCATGTGGGCACTGGCACATAATGTGCACTGAAATACTATCCAGCTTTAGGTCACAGCTTACCTCCAATTCATGTTCTTGAGCCTGTCCAAGAGAAGGTAGAGCTGTATTTTTACGTACTAAGCTTACGGGATTACATTGCTGCCACGTGCCCAGGGCTTTCAAAAGATGTAGCCAGACCCTCCCTAGTCCCACTGACCTTTTCCCATTGATGACTAACCTCAGGGCTGCCTGTACGACCAGAGAGCAAACGAGTCAAGAGTGGCAGTTCCTTGGCAGTGACTTTATTCACCTTTCAGTGCCGCATTTAATAACTCTGGATGGCACTTATTGGAATAGATTTTCCAGCAAGTGGCATGCCAAAGTCTTGATGAAATCAGGCCTTCTGTCCTATGTCAATCACCTACCTTTTGCCAATTCAAAAGTGCTATCCATACTGAAAAAGCAAGTCCCAAGGAGAACTTCAGCCCAGAGCACACAGCTAAACCTGGCCTAACAATAGGCTGCAGTAAAAAGAGGTCATCAGTGCATGGTCTTCAACCTGTTCTTCTACACTTTGCATTGAACAACAGACTCCCCAAACTACTGGAGGTACTTCCAAGTGTCTTCCTATCTGTTTCAGGGGAACCCTTTCATGGTCACTGGAACTAGAATGTGCACAGGTATGGGTATCTGCTGAGGGGCAACAAAATAGAAGTGCATCCACCACCTTATTTTGGAGACACTACATAGTCTTTACTTAAACAGCTGATTATATATATGTGAAGATTTTAGGGTGTGGGCAAAGCTAATTCTCAGCTCATGGCCTAAGCCTGTCCTTGCTAAATATGCAAAAGTAGACATTGTTCTCACCCTAGATTAGGTTATAGTTTCAGTTCTTGTTGTTCCCTGGTGTCAATGGGAAGTATGTTCTCTGGCATCTGCATCAGGCGCATTTGCACCAGTCCCCGATGGCTGCAGAGCTGCAAATTCTGCTTGTGGGTGGTGACTTTGCCTCCGGATCTTTTGTTTTCAAAATGCAGCTGCAGAGGAGAGGAACATGGCATCATTATCGCTATGAAAGGTCTTTTCATCCCCTGTGGTTTCCGGGTTAGAGCTGTGTTGGCTGAGGATTCCTCCCCCAGGGTGGAGGAGTAATGGAAATGCAGCCTAAAAGAGGATCAGGAGGAAGATGTGAAAATGAGCACAAATGCACAGCGTATGAGTCAGTGCCACAAGGAATCTCTATCCCGTAAGTCAAGATCACACCTCCCCTTGGTACAGCAGAGCTGTTCCCACACAAGGAGAAGGCATCATGTGGTGTTCAACATCTTTAAAAGGACTTATGTCCTGACTGAAAGTTTAATAGTGGGAAAATATTTTCAGGTCAGTAACATTTCAGCTTCAGAGAAGGGTAGGAAAAGCAAGCATGACATGCTGCATTCATTATCTGCTGTAAAATAATATGGACCAGGCACTGAGGCCAAATCCTTTGTGTGGTGCAAATCAACCTCCTGATGCTAAACTGATGCTGAACTGATTAACTCTGCTGATGAGCTGGCCTTTGTCATCAAAAACAGTTCTCATACTCTCATGCTGTATTATATTTTAAATTTTTCATTAACAGCCTCACCTCAGACTGCTCAGAGGAATCAAACTATAGTTCTAGCATCAGGAGTAGGCAACATGGGCTGAGAAACACCCAAAACAACAGCTCCACTGTCAAGTGTTTCCAGACTTCCAGGGCCTATAAATCCACAATCCATGACAGCCTTGGGTTGCTGATGGCTGGAACCTGAGCCTCTGGGTTCTTCAAGGCAGACACCATGTCCTTCAGAGTGGGAAGAATTTGTCCCCCAAGGAAAGACACAAGGCCCAACAGAGAAAGACCTTCTCCTCTTAGGCAAGCATGAGCAGGGCAAGGCAGAGTCAAACCCAAAGAGCAAAGCCAGGTTTGAGCTGAGCCAGGATAAGTAGGTTGACATTCAAGGCAGCCACAAGGCAGACTAGAGAAGCTGCAGTCTGTTCTGAACCAAAGGTCCAATGGAATGGCATAGTTCAGGTCAAGGAGCACTGTAAAAAGAGTTATTTTTATTGCTGCACATGTTCTTGAGGACAGAAAACAGAAGTGGGATGTGAAGGGGCAGGATGGAGCACAGAAACAATGAGTGGGACTGCTGGTGGACTGCAGATCTGACCACTGGGCAAGCATCAGTCCCCTTCACCACCTTCTAGAGAAGCTTATCAAGCCCTGCCTCTTCCAGGGAGCTGGTTGCAGTGAGAGAGGAGATCTGGAAACCCAGGTAGGTCTCATGGTCCATCCATCCAGGCATCATGCTTGACACCAGCCCATCGCTCCTCCGGACGGGCCGCACCGATGTCTGAGGAGCAGCCACATGACACAGAGCCTGCTCACCTGTCACGTGCAGGCAGAGCAATCTGTGGCATTGTGCAACTGTGCAGCAGCACAGCACCAAGCCTGCCCACAGGCAACCTCAAAGCCCAGGGAGGCATCTCACATTCTCCTGCCATGACTGTGGCTTGTCTGGCCGCACCCAGCTCCCTGCCACGTCACAGCAGGTGTTCCAGTGCCAACCTCCTTCCAGCAGCTCTCCCAGGCAAAGCAGGAGGAGCTTCTCCAGGAGAGAAGGTGCTCACAGAGGTGATGGACAGCAGGTGTCACTCCCCACTGGACTGGGCAGATGGTTTTGGGACAACCACCACAAGACGAGGATGATTCGGCTGCCCCTGCATGCTCGAACATCCTATCAGCCTGGGAGACACACTGGAAAATCTAGGACAGCAGAGGCCTAGGACTTGGCCCAGGACTCATCCCAGGATGGCAGCCTGGGCCATAGCTGTGCCCTTGGCACCCATTTCCCAACTGGTTCCTCAGAGGTGTCCATGCAGATGTGCACCTACACAGGCAGAGGGACACTTGTCACCCTCTGGATCAGTAGGACATGGCCAAAGGCAGGTCTTGAGCCATAATGGGTCTGCTTTCCATGCCTCCTGGTTTAGGGGTGGGCTGTGACATGGCACACTGTATTATAAAAGCCTTTGTGTAATTTCCCACAGTAGCTGGTCTCTACTGAGTTCAGTTTATAAGTACAGTGACTTTTTTCCTAAGTGCTGGACTGATGAATGCCACTGGCATCTGAGGTTCAGGATGTTCCCAATAAAATCGTGTTTCCAAGGGCACATGCACATCTTCCTCTCTTCTATGAATTTACACATCTAGAACCTGGTGAACTGCTGACAAGGCACAGGGAGGAGTAGGATGCAGGTTATCCTCTGGAATCCATCCTGGCTTATTTGAAAGCAGTTTCAAATGCAAAGTGCTGAGTAGAAGATGCTATTTGTCACTCTTCGGAGCAGATTTTCACTGTAGAGGCCCTAGTCTCATTTACAATAAATTTCCTCATAATGTGCAGGTGATTTATGCCATTCCTCAACTATAAATTATACTTACATCCACTCTGTGGTCTCTTTACATTGTTAAAGTGTAGTGAAGTGACCGTAGGGTAAGTGATAGGGATAATTTGTCTACAAGGAGAAATTCATCAGAATGACTGCGTGCATGAAGAAGAGTCTTTTTCATCTTGGGAAATACTCTGTATGTTTTCTTCATGTGAAAAAAACATTCACAACACAGATTCAATCTGCAGGCGTTGTTTCCCGTGACCCGAACACCACAGATATGTGCTATATCTTCCTCTGAAATGGGGTCAGGAGTTATGAATCTATTCTGTAACTAGCATCATTTTTATTCACAGTATTTATCCAAAGATCCCAAGCAGAGAGTAGAAAGCAATCAGAGTTGTGAATGAGGATAAATTTGTCCTGTTTGCTTTCTTAGGTTTGCTTTTCCAGCATCCAGAGAATATATCTCTTCCTATTATAAGCTATTTTTCCAGAGTGATTTTACTTACAGTCAAAAATGAGCATTGTGAAATCAACTGTTAAATTTAGATCTTTGAGCTGTTTTCATCAGAACAAAAACACAGGGATTTGTAGCTGTCAGCTTCCCTAAAACTGATTCATACAGAAAGACCAAATCCTGAGCTCCATTAATTTAAGATGGTTTCCAGTCATACCAGAGACACAGGCATGAAAGGTGCCTTTGGACCTTAGGATGAGGATCTTTTGAGCATTTCAGGCAACGATCAGATCGGGAGAGGTAGCTGGGAGAGAGCCACTTTAGTGGTTTCTCGCTGCTAGCTTCCTGCTGAAGCTTTTGAAAGAGGAAAACATTCCTGGTTTCTCATTTTTATTACTATTTTAGGATATTACTTTGGCTACAGTTGGAGTTTTCTAGCTTTGAGAGCCAAATTCTACCATTAGATCAGCAGGGCATTTTATCTGGGAGGAGAAGAACATTGGCTGGAACATGTAATGGAGGACCAGCAGGATTCTTCTGCATTCCAAATAGCGGTCTTGGTGGATCTATGCTGATTCTGTGCTTGGGATAATGTTGTATATTCCTCAAGAGGGAGCAGTTCTAGTACTACCTACACCACTAAAAACAGACGCCATATTTGTCTATACTAG